TTCCTGAACCTTCTCTTTGCCATTCCCATTCTTTGCCTTTAGTTTGGGACAGTGCTTAATGAAGTCCCTATCTCGTGACAGTAGTAACATTCCACATTTTTATGAGATCTAGATTTGTCCCTACTAGTAGAACCCTTTGTCCCACCTTTGCCTCTTACAAATAAACCCTCGGCCTGCTCATCTCCAATATTCTCAAACACCTTTTTTCTCAACTCCTGAGAGTTCAATAAGGATTTAACATCCTCCATACTAATAGTGTCTTTTCCATAGAGCAGTGTGGTAACAAAATGCTCATATGAAGGAGGCAAAGAACACAACAAAATAAGGGCTTGATCATCGTCATCAATTTTAATATTAGTATTTTTCAAATCCATAATAATAGAATTGAAATTATCAATATAGTCCTTAAGAGGCATACCTTCCTTCATACGAAGGGTGTAGAGTTTCTGTTTCAGGTAAAGTCTGTTGGTGAGAGATTTCGTCATATACAGACTCTCCAATTTCAGCCACAACTTTGCCTCCGTGTCTTCATCAATAACTTCACGCAGCACCTCATCAGCTAGATTCAAAATAATTGCACTACGCGCCTTTTCATTGACCTCATCTTGTCTTCATCGGACATAGTTGTTGGCAACTTGTCCTTCCCGAACAACACCTTCTTTAGACCTTGCTGAGTCAGCAGGGCCTGCATCTTAATGCGCCAAAGACTAAAGCTAATCTTGCCATCAAATTTCTCTATCTCGTATCTGGTCGACATCTCAAAAAAAAAAAAAAAACTCCCAAAAAAATTACTCGGTGAATGGTACTGTATTTGTGAACGGTACTCGAATAGTATCTGTGAACAGTATTATATGTGTGAACAGTTTCTGTACACAATATACGAACCCGAGCTTTGATACCAGTTTGTTATGAAAAAAAGATCGAATAGGAATTTATGAGAACAAGAGAAAAATAAATGACAAGAAAAAAATAGGCACACACACAAATGAGGCAAGAATTTACATGGTTCGGCTATGCCTACATCCACGAGGAGAAGACAGAACAATATTTCACTATGGAAATAAAGAGATACAAGGCAAAGTGGCTCACACCCAAAACCCAATTACACCCAAACTCTCTCACCCACTAACTGATATTACAAACTCACTCAATTGATTTGGGATGCTTCAACACCATGGAGGGCAAGGCTATTTATAGCCAAAATGGGACACCAAAACGAGGTTACTTGGTGACCACTCAAAAGACTTGTTAGGCACACATTCTTGGAGGCCAAGAATAAAGCTTGATGAACACATATACTTGGAGGCCAAGAAGATGATAGCATGGGTGATGCAAGCCTCAAATTGAGCCACATGTTCAACAGTTTGTCAAGTGCTCCTTTGTCAAATCCTTGTGGCTCTTCTTGCAAGCAAGATGTAGATTTCATATACAACCATCCTCATGGATTGAGCTTATTCTTTGGGCATCCCACCAGTGGAAAGGCACTTCTGATTTCCATAGTAACTCAATCTCCAGAATGAGTTTGGTTTCCTTAGTGTACCATATATGGAATGAGCGCAATCGAAGGATCTTCAAGAAAAAATCAATCACCGCTAATTCATTACTTAACCTCACTTTGGAAAGAATAAGATCCAAAATTATGTCATCTTCAATCTCGGACTCCTTCAATATTAGAAGAATGATATTCCAGAATTAGTACTACGTTTGCCAGCAAAACCCCCTGATCCAGTGAGCTGATTTGAAGCATTTGATGGATCTCTTCTCTCCTTGATTACCGGAATGTTCATGATGACCATTAACAGTCTTCTGCACTTCAATGCTTGATTGTTTTGTTCTGCCTGGGCCATTTGGCCTTAAGTTAACTGTATTCTGGTTAGCATTGGGCTAACTTGCCTTTTTGGGCTGTACATTTCATTCCATATTTATATATTGAATTTTACGCTTAAAAAAAAGAAGATAAAAACCTAATTAAGTTATGAGAAAAACATGGAGAACTCATGCCCTTCCACATAAAAAGTTCATTTTATAAATATTGTTATTAGATTTCAATGAATCAATAGAGCATATTTTCTCATTTAAAAATAATTAAAAAAAACCAAAATCTATGTTCCACACACAATCCTATTCAACAACACATGAAAATATCTTTGCTTCTCTTCTCATTCCTTGATTCAGGTACATCTAGTACCCCTATTTTGTTTGGGAGAAAAAAAAAAGGTGGGGAAGAAATTGTTAGCACTTTCATGATCTCATGATCTGTTTGTGGCAAGAAAGAGACTACTCTTCATTGGTTTCCAGTTTGGAAGATCAGGAATGCATTTAGAGTACTTCGCTGAGCTTCCCTCTTGTGTATAGATAAATTTTAAAAAGAGAAGAAGAAGAAGAAGAAGAAGAGAGAGAGGGGCTAGGGTTTTGATCGGTTCTAATTGACGTTAATGGGGTAGTTTGGTAAGAAAAAAATTAGGGATAGTTTTGGAAATTTGTTAAAAAAGAGTTGACATTGTTTATTAGAAACTAACAGAAAACATAAAAAAAAGAAAAAGAAAAAAAGAACTGATTTCTAATGGTTTTTTTTTTTTTTTTTAATGGACTAATGTCAAAACTTATACAAAATTATGGGACTAAGTAAAAAAAATCCATATTTTAATTACAAAACATAACTATGACTTATTAGTTTGACTTTGATGATACTCGTTGTTGTTCTTTCTAGGCTTGATACACACAAGTTTATATGAGATATATGTGAATTACTGTACAATAGACAATTCGGATATCTTTGTACAATGGTTCGAAGTGTCCGTATATTCTATGAGAAACCTGAAATATTCTTTGAGCGTATACTACTATTTATTAGCATAGAGATTAACGAATAGGGACGAAATATGATGAGGCTACTAGATATTTGAGGAACCTGGTTATTGTAGTTCCCTCTCTATCCATACTTCAAATCCTGATGTAAGGGTAGATCGACCACATGAGCCAACTCCTAAGTCGATGCCAAAAGAGGAACCAGCTGATTCTTGTAGCTAGTTACATGTATATTAGAATGCTACGAGAAAACTAAGGTCGTGAGAACGTTCAGAATTGTTGCCAATGGATATTGGGTAATTCATATTTTTATTTTATTTTTTTGCCAGTATACTTACACAAACGTGCACCCACTGCATCCAAAACCCTCAACTTCACTTTTGGGAAGATAACCATACCAATGGAACCACAGTTTTAGTAGTGTGATTCATTTATTCATACGGGCTCGTAACTATTAGAATATATTTTAGAATATATTATTACTATATTGTGTAATATATTCTAATAATGTATAGGTTTATTATATATAGGTTTAACTTATAGAGTTTAGGTTTCTTGCACTCTACATATCTCGTAACCTATATAAACCCCTGTACATCTCGTCACCTATTTAAACCCCTGTGTATGTCATATCTTATACACATCAATACAATATACAATTTCTCTCTTTTATAGGAGAGATTTTAGCCTATGATAGAATATTGATCGAAGTGATTTATGGTATTGATTTTAGAAATATTTCATTAATGTATTTTCCATATTTATCACCTCTATTCTTTTACCTATAAATAGAAGTGATCATTGTATACAAAGATTAAGAGAATATATTATAAAGTGATGTAACCCTTTGAGCTCTTTGTGCTATTAATGTAGGCTCTAGTGACTGAACCACATAATATCATTGTGTTCTTCATATTTCATTTCTCTCTTCACTTCTTTTTAATATTTTACAACATGGTATCAGAGTCTAATTTCTCTTCCTAGGTTCGGACCCTTATTTTTGGGGTATTCCCTTAGCATTTGAAATGTTGCTAAGGGTTTTTCGGTACTATTTGTGACTTGTTTGGATTGCTGGTTTGTTTTGCAATAATGTTGTTCGCCTTTGCCGTGTCTCCGATAGTTTTTATCGACTTGTTTGGGCTACCGGTGTGTTCGATAGCATTGTCCTTGCCTTGTCATGTCTTCGGCAATTTTTATTGACTTGTTAGGGCTGCCGGTGTGTTTCGTAACATTCTTCATAACTTTCGTCATGTGTTGGTGCTATGTGGACTTATTTGGGCTATCAGTGTATTCGGTAGCATTGTTCTTTGTATTCACCGTGTCTCTAACAGTTTTATTTCATTTTTCCAAATCGTTGGAAAAAGTCATGTTTCATGATTTGATATGCAAGTTGAGCGTTATATTTGAAAAATATTATTATAAGAACTCTTAAATTACCCCTTGACAGAATATTTGATATGAGATACACAGGGATTTATATAGGTGACAAGAATTTGTGGAGACTTAAACCCTATATATGATTAGAATATATTACACAATATAGTAATAATATATTTTACAATATATTCTAACAGTAACTACAATTACAAATGAAAAAAAAATAGAACTATACAACAGAAGATAGTTGGGGTAATTATGTCAAGAAGGAAAAAAAAAAAGAGAAGAGCCTATAAATTTCTCTAAGTTAATCTAATGGCTTCTCATTGACTTCCTCACAATAAGATTTGCTTGTAAAGTGGTCTTCCACATGATTGTTGATGAAGCCTTAAACTGCAGGTATATAACACCCAAAAATTCTTTAGCTAGCCTTCAAAATGTTATCAGGATAACTCCTTTTTCGGCCCACATAAAAGCCGTACAATTCTTGATTTATCTTGTTCTTAGTGTTTTAATATCTATATATATCCCTCTCTCTATATATATTCCGAATTTTCTGCTAACTCATTCATTCTATTTCTCTCTCCTTTTTTCTTTTTTCTTTTTTTTGTTTTTTTGTTTTTTTTTCCAAGATAAGTAAAAATGATTTTTCATTATTTGGTTACAGGATATATACATTCTCAATTTCATTAACAAAATTATGCAGGATTTGGACAAATAGCTTAATTGCATGTGCAAATTACAAAAGGATTGATTCAGTTCCTACATATATATTTTTGTGTATATAAATGGCAAGCAAAAGTGACGGTCATCATATGTTAGAAGATATGACAATTGAGATTCTTTTGAAACTGCCTGTAAAATCGCTTCTGCGATTTAAATGTGTGTGCAAATATTGGTACACCCTCATTAGAAGTTCTACATTTGTTAAGAAGCACCTCCACCATCAAAGCAACAATGCTCGTCTCCTTGTTCATTATTACAATTGCAGCACTTTAGAATATTCTTTTGCTTTCTTCCAGGATAAAACACTTGCTACCTTTCCCCTTGTATATTATGATGTTGATGGTGTCGTGATACCCAACAACCCAAATATTTTTGGTCACTATGATGGCATACTTGGTCTTTACGATTGGGATAGCATAGCTCTATGGAATCCTGCCACAAGAGAATTTAGATTTCTCCCTATGCCAAACCCTGACATTCCACCCAGGTTTAGCGTTTTGGAACATAAATTTGGATTTGGGTTAGATCACACAACCAATGATTATAAGGTGGTTTGTATTAGAACGTATTATTATTCCGAAGACTATGAAGATTATCATTCTGCAGTTATTGTATTATTTCACCTATCTACGAATTCTTGGAGACTTTTTGAAGCTGATTTGTCTCGAGTCACTTACGTGCATGAATCTTCATGTAGCACATGCTTGAACGGAGTATATTATTGGCTGACTAGTGTGCTTGATAAACTTGAGTTTCGTACTACGTACTTTTACAATAAAATCCTTACATTTGATTTGAGTAATGAAGTTTTTGGAGATATACCAGGACCTCAAGATATTCCCAAATTAAATTTGGGAAATCTCATTTTATACGATGAATCTATTTCTGTGATGTGTTTTGATCAACGTGAAGTTGAGAAATATGTTGACATATGGGTGATGAAAGAGGAGGGGTGTTGGATTAAGGAATTAACTATTGGACCACTTGTAGATGTCGGCAAGGCACTTGGATTTTGGAAAAATGGTGAGCTTTTCCTAGAAACTATAACTCTAAAGTTAGTTTTATACAACCCTAATACCCAAGAAATTAAAGATCTTCAACATGACGGACCATATGATATGCGTAAGATCTTTGTGTACACAGAGAGCCTCGTTTCAATCAAGGAAGGAAATGAATGCTGACAAAGGAGATAATGTGTCGAATACGGCTTGAGTTCAAGATTTTTTTTTCACATTTGTTCCCCTCGCCATTTGGGCGGATCAAACAGCTCAGCAGTGATTTGTGTTTCCAGTTTCTATTTATTCATGTATTTTGTAGGAGCAACAAAGAGTAATAGGGAAAGGAAGGTAATGATTTACAGGGAAAAAGAAAATTGGGAAAAGAAGGGAAGATAGTTACTTTCTATTTGCTTACCCAATAAACTAATATATATATATATATACACACACACACACACACACTTTATAATCATAATTTCTTATTTCAAGTTTATCTAAGTTGTTTCATCGGTTTACCATATCCTGAGGATAATACTTTAAAGTTTAAATTTGTTTCTAATATTCTAAGCTTAATAGCATATATCTGTGGTTACAATTACATAATCCCCATCCGTGTTTATGAAAATGCTGCAAATCTGTAAAACTATAAATTATTAGCAACCTTCCTGAATTATATTTTGAGCTACCAAAAACAAAACTTTCATATTTCCAAATTAAATAAAATTTCGAATCAGGCGCGGAGCCAGGAACTCATTTTAGGTGGGGCACAATGCATTTGATAAAGATAAATAAAAAATATAAAAAGAGCTAGCATGACAAATTTAGATAATTCGAATCAAAAGGTAAATAAGAAAAATAAACACTACAAAATGCTGCAAATTAAATGTTGGTTTTCATGATTCCCATCCAAAATTCTCAGAAATTGGGCTATTCTGATAGCATTTCTCTTTGAAGTGAAAGTGGAATTCCTCGGTTATTTTTTCCTTTCCATTCACTCGGATCTCTTCCGTCCATGTCCATTTTTAGAAAATTTCAATCTCATGTCTCCCAAATTCAAGGATCCCTCCTTCATATAGATCTCATCTTTCTTGAAACTCCAAGCATGTTGGAAGACACAATTCTCTCTCTCTAGGATCTTTCAATTCACTTTATTTTTATGTGATATATAAAAAATGTTGAGCTTCATTCAGACATATTATATTTTTATTATAATTTTTTTTTTTTTTAAATATCTATCAATCACGGAGAAATCTAAAATTTCCCTTTTGACCGCAAGATAATCTTATCAAGAATAGAGGTAACGATTCAGATCCCCCATTGATTGATCAATGGCTATCTTCATATACATATTTTTTGAAAGTTTAAACATACACACACATCATTCACAATATATGTCACTAGAAGGATTATAACTCTCAACCTCCCCTTGTACCATTGGGCAAGAGGCCCTTTGTCAAGGCTTTGATGATATTGGATCATTTCTATAATCTTTTGTAGTTATTTTGAATTTTTATTGCTTAGTGGATTGGATATTTCTAAATATTTTAGTCACTCTTCATATAGCTAGCTAGAAGAATTTTAGTGGTAAGGATTTCTACCAATTGTTCATTTTATACTCATTCTTTGCAAAATCGTATGCTTTGGATGCATTTGCAACTGTCTTAACTCTTAACTTGAAAATATTGAATTTTGTAAAACCTTTTTTGATTCCAATGCTTCTTTAAACAAGTCAAACACATAAATTTGTGGTAAACTATTATTCATATTCTTTTTTGGTTGTGCCTTTTTTTTAACCCCTGTAATACATATTAATGGCTGTGACATTTATTTATGTCAAAATATATTATCTTCATTCTAGGGCTTTTTATCAAGGCAACTAGAATTCATCTAATGCTGAAATACAGTTTTATTAAGTTAGATTGAAAGTGATAATCAGATATGATATACAATTGTTTTGTTAGTAAGGGTTCGTATAGAATTTATATAGAATGGTTTGGAAGTTAAAGTACTGTTTACTGCATTAGTTGCTGATAGATTGTGTCTTTGGTCATCTTCTTTCTAATTCCTAAAACTCAGTACTTTGGCATTTTCAAGAATTAATTCCCCGCAACATGGGAAAATCATTCAAGAACATTTTCCTAATATCTTCATTACCGACTAATTAATTACGAAACATATCTATGACTTATTAGTTTGATTTTTATGATAGTCGATTGTCATTCTTTCTAGGCTTGATATACACAAGTTTGTATGAGATAGATGTGAATTACTGTGCAATCGAACAATTCGGATTTGTTTGTACAATGGTTCCCTGTGTTGATATATTGTATGAGAAACCTGATATATTCTTTGAGTATATACTACTATTAATTAGCATAGAAAAAAACAAATAGGAATGAAATATGATGAGGCTACTAGATATTTGAGGAACCTGATTATTGTAGTTCCCTCTCTATCCCAAACCCTCAACATCTCTTTTGGGGAATAGTACGGCCTTGTAACTACAATTACAAATGGAAAGGTCCCTAGTAATTGAAATTTTATTGAAGTACTATATAACTCGAGAGTTGGGGTAATTTTGTCAAAGCAAAAAAAAAAAAAAAATTGAGAAAAGAAGGGTCCATAAATTTCTCTAAAGTTAATCTAATGGCTTCTCCTTGACTTGCTCACAATAAGATTTGCTTGTAAAGTGGTCTTCCACATGATTGTTATGAAGCCTTAAACAGCAGGTATATATATATACACCCAAAAATTCTTTAGATAGCCTTCAAAATGAAATTCGGACAACTACTTTTCTGGTCCACATAAAACCCGTACAATTATTGATTTATCTTGCTCTTAGGTTTTTAATATATATATATATATATTCCGAATTGTCTTCCTAGTCATTCATTTTATTTCTCTCTCCCTATATTTTTTTTTTCAAAGATAAGTAAAAATGATTTTTCATCATTTGGTTACAGGAGACATACATTCTCAATTTCATTAAAAAATATTATGCAGGGTTTTGGACAAACTACTTTATTGCATCTGCAAATTGCAAAAGGATTGATTCTGTTCCTGCATATATATTTTTGTGTAGATAAACACATATAGAGATAGATAAATGGCAAGCAAAAGTGGCGGTTATCATATGTTAGAAGATTTGACAATTGCGATTCTTTTGAAGCTGCCTGTGAAATCGCTTATGCGATTTAAATGTGCGTGCAAATATTGGTACACCCTCATTAGAAGTTCTACATTTGTTAAGAAGCACCTCCACCATCAAGGCAACAATGCTCGTCTCCTTGTTCATCATTACAATTATAGCACTGAAAAATATTCTTTTGCTTTGTTCCAGGATGAAACACTTGCTTGCTTTCCCCTTTTATATTACGATGTTGATGATGTTCAGATACCCAAGCACCCAAATATTTTTGGTCACTGTGATGGCATGCTTGGTGTTTGCGATTGTGATAGCATAGCTCTATGGAATCCTGCTACAAGAGAATTCAGTTTCCTTCCTATGCCAGACCCCAACATTCCATCCAGATTTAGCGTTTTCAACAACAGATTTGGATTTGGGTTGGATCCCATAACCAATGATTACAAGGTGGTTTGGATCCGAACGTATTATTTTTCTGAGGAATATGAAAATTATCATTCTGCAGTTATTGTAGTATTTTACCTATCTACGAATTCTTGGAGACTTTTTGAAGCTGATTTGTCTCGAGTTGCTTACGTGCATGAATCTTTGTGTAGCACATGCTTGAACGGAGTATATTATTGGTTGACTAGTATGCTTGATAAGCTTGGTTTGCGAACTACATATTATTACAATGCCATCCTTACATTTGATTTAAGTAATGAGGTTTTTGGAGATATACCAGGACCTCGTGATATTCCTGTAGTAAATTCGGGGAATCTCATTATATACAATGATTCTATTTCTGTGATGTGTTTTGATCCACGTGAGGTTGAGAAATATGTTGACATATGGGTGATGAAGGAGGAGGGTTGTTGGTCCAAACAATTAACTATCGGACCCCTTGTAGATGTTGACAGGGCACTTGGGTTTTGGAAAAATGGTGAGCTTTTCCTAGAAACTAGCACTTCAAAATTAGTATTATACAACCCTAATACCCAAGAAATTAAAGATCTACAACATCGTGGACTGTACAATAGCCTTAGGATATTTATGTACAAGGAGAGCCTCGTTTCAATTAGAGGAGGAAATGAATGCTGGAAAGGAGATAACGTGTTGAATACTGCTTGAGTTTAAGATTTTTTCACATGGCGGATCAAACAGCTCGGGAGTGATTTGTGTTTCCAGACAATCGAGTTTCTATTGTTTATTCATGTATTATTATTATTATTATTATTATTATTATTATTTTGTAGATGCAACAAAGGGTAGTATGGAAAGGAAGGGAAGACGAATATTTTCTTCCTAATTACTTCCCGAATTTATTTATTTATTTGCTAAATGAAAATATATATATATATATTTCTAATCACAGTTTCTTCTTTTCTGTGGTCTAGTAACTGTATCTATGTTGTCCCATCAGTTTACTATATATATATATTGAGGATATATATCACTTTTGTTTTAGATATTCTAAGCTTAATAGCATGCATCTCTGGTTACAATTACATATTCTCTAAGTTAATATATGAAATATTCTAAGGATCCCAAAACCTCTCCAGTCTTGAATACATTTAATATCACATTGTTATTACTATTTTACTTATTAAATTTCAATAAATCTATTTAAAATTCATTACTAGGTCGGTTTATATTCACATCACAAAATAACCAAAAAAAAAAAAAATTTAATGGCCATTTGAGCTTTTGCATAATTTCGGAAGAACGGGATTTGTTGCAAAAGGTGAATAATTTAAAGAAGTATGTTGAAATTAATAGGGTAATATTGTTAAAATAGTAAGTGACATATTTGTCATTTTCCAAAATTAATAGGGTAATATTGTTAAAATAGGGTAATTACCAAAAATAGATATTTGCTTGTTTAATGTAAAATTATAATTTAAAATAAGGACAATGATATTAGGGTTGATTATTCTGACAGATTTGTGAGACCGATGCATACGTGGCTAGCCATGTTATGATGTTAAAAGCCATCTCAACCGTTGTCTGGTTTTCTCTCTCCTCTGGCTCTGGGTCATCTTCAACCATTTTCTCTGTCCAAGTATAATCTATGCGTGTTGTCGGACCTCACCAACGCCGAATCAGTTCTCTAGGAATGCACCGCTAGTGCGATTGGCATCGATGAATGAGGAGAGGATGTCGGTGTTGTTCTTAGTGGGAATCGGTGACTTGTCGGAGGAAAGAACGTCGGCGTTTGTTTTGATTTCTCCATGATTTACGAAGCGACCGGAGATTCGCTCGCTGGGTTGAAAGGTTTCCGGTGTTGAGGATCTTGCAATAGATTGCCGATGAAGTTCGATCCACCAACGCGGCTGTTGACAGTGTCGTGTCGATGTGCTAACCCTTATGGTGGTGGAAGAGAATAGAGAACGGCGGTGAGCTCGGCTGGTTCGGATGAAGGTGGCTGTGATCGAGCGACGATAGAGAGAAAAGTTCGGTAAGGAACGATGGCTACGGTGGTGGAGAGATCGGCTGACTTGCAGCGGCTCAGATGGAGTCGGTCGGTGGAGAGGACGGTGGAGACGGTCTGGGGCAGATGGAGCTGGTCGGTGGAGAGCTCGGAACGACGGCGGGCGAGCAAGGTCTGATCCTCGGACCAGAGATGATTCCGATGGTAACAGGGACAGCGACGAGTGAAGTCGCGATTCCGGCGATGGCTGTGAATTGCAGCTTCGGATGATGGCGACTAAAGAGGATTCCGGCGGCTTTTCACTGTAGTTTGATGGATTTGCAGTTCTTCGGATCAGGTTTTGGGTTGATTGTGGTGATGGGTGGTGATGCTTTTAGGTTTTGTTTGGTTGGTTATGGTTTGTATGACTAAAATTGGCTTGGTCCAGAAGGCCATTGATTGTGGTGTGGTGACTGGAGATGGGAGGTTGTGGGTTGTCCTTGGTGATGATAAAGGTTTGGGTTTGCAGAGGCATGAATCGAAACACGTGGGTTGCAGGTCACGCTAGTCTCCTCAAGACGATGAATCGACCTCAACTGAGGAGGGAAGAAGCAAGATAGTTTTATTATTATTATTTTTTTTTGGTAAGTTGTTGCCAGGTGGATTCTGCCAAAGCAATCGCGGTCCCTCTATCACAACCTTTAAAATAATATTATCTCCAACTTAAGCTACAAATAGACTTTTATCTACTTAGTCATGCCCGCTACAACTATCTACTTTAAAAGCCTATTAAAAAATATATAATTTTAATACTTAAATCCTTGAAGAGGCTCCTTCATATAATTCATATTTTAAATTTTACCTTTCATGGCGACGGTGAAGTGAACTAAAGACATTTGGCTTTTTTCTTTCATGACTAGACAATCTCTGAATCTCAATAAAGATTAATTGTTGGTGGCCGGTATATGTAATTTTTAGTATATGTATATATATATATATATTTGCACAGTTAAATCACAAAATCCTCTCTATTATCAAATTGGTGCAAAAAAACTCCACTAAAACTAAACACATCTGAATTAAAAAAATGTTATCAAATTGCCCCCAAAACTTATGTGAAATGATAAAATTACCCTTATGATTTAATGTTGAATTTCCCATAAATCTTGGGATCAATACAAAACCTTCATTTGTATACTCCACTGATTGTAATTTTTCTCACTAAACTTGGGAAGTTGGGGCTGCAACATATTATTAGATGCCATTTTTCTTTACCGATCTTGTAACTAAGCTCTAATACCACTTTGTTGAAGTTGGTGGGCAAGTGAACACAAATTGGATACACTCACATATTCAACTGAATTAGTAAACACACAATACAGGAGAATTCACTTCTATAAAACTGAATTCTTTGTCTTGTATTGTTCAATTGTTTGTGTTGAATTACACTTACATGACTCACTTATTTATACTACTTAATGGATACTTCTAGTACATGAATTTAATACATGTAAGGAATCATACAATGAACCAAAATATTTCATATAAACCAAAATATTCCATGTACTAGCAATTATTATGAGATTCTTTACACCTTCCTAAGTATCACTTAGTCTTCTTAGATGAATCTAGACAAGTTTAGATTAATCTTCCAACATCCCCTCTTAAACTAGACTTATGCAACTCTAAGTTTCTCCTTTAATTTGATAAAACTTTTTAACTTCAATGCTTTTGTAAAAATGTCTGCAATTTGATATTTGGTTTTGCAGTGTTTGATGACAATTTCTCCATCTTTAACCAAATCTCTAATGAAGTGATACTTGATTCTAATATGCTTGCTTCTGCCATGAAAAACTGGATTCTTGCTAAGTGCAATTGCTGAATTATTATCACAAAACAGAACAGTATCTTTCACCTGAAAATACTTCAAATCTTCTAATACTCATTTCAACCATATTGCTTGGCAACCAGGTGTGGACAGAGCAATATATTCAGCTTCTGTAGTTGAAAGTGCTACTACAGGTTGCTTCTTCGATGCCCAAGATACTGTGATACCCCCGAATTTCCGAATGCGGGTTGGCCAGGCCCACGCCCGAATACCCGAGGATATTAAAACAAATTGATAATAAACGAACACAGAATACAAAAGAATAAAGAAGAATAAATAAAATGCTGACAAGAAACTAAAATGATAATCTAATAATAAACCTCATAATATATTTCCATTAATTAATAAACTCTTCTGATACAACTGATCCTCCAAAAAATAACTCGGGAATCCATACTGTGTGGACCCCTAAAAAATCCAAACTAAACAAATGACAGTAATCTAAAACAGAAAACTGAATCATAAAGGAACTCTTATATAGCATCGGAAGAATGAAGTAGACTGATCCCCACTTAGCACGAACAACCTCTACTCGTGACGAACACCTGAAAAATAATGGTGGGTCAGGTCCACAAACAAGTTCTACTCTACTACAGTCCAAGCAGAGATCCGATACACGTATACATCCTAGTCAATCCAACAGTAACTAGTAGTTCGTATATATATATATATACACACTAAAGGAACCTCACTAGACTATAGGGTTGTCTCAATCTGAATAGTAGGCAATATGCAAAACGCACATATAGTGGGCATGAGTACCTAGACCTACCAGGGTACACAACTACACTATATTTAGCTACACATCCCTGGCGATATACGCGCCCTAACCATTGATCCTAAGACTCAAACTCATATCATGGCACCATACTTATATATATATAATCTAGTAACCATCCTATCCAGTATAAATTAATCCTCCATAAGTCATTCAACTTGTTCAGCTGACCTGACTTGAATATAAGTAGGACTTAACATTTTAGTTAATCCATTCCCTTATATAATAAATTAATCCTCCATAAGTCATTCAACTTGTTCAGCTGACCTGACTTAAATATAAGTAGGACTTAACATTTTAATTAATCCATCCCTAGAATGCCACCGTCCCATACCGGTGCATTAAACCACACAATCTAACAATTGATGTAACAATTAAGGAAATACATCAAACATTTCATAAATAACTATGATAAATATAATATCAAGTTATCACATAATAGGAATGACTTATTATTTCTTTAAACTTCCTATATCATATGTTCTACACAAACTGAATCTTATACATGATGATATTTTATTATACCGTTAAATAAGGATTCTCTATATCCAATTCATCCTACACATTTAATCTCAATTGCTAAAATATTTTAAAATATTAAATCCATTCGTTTGTTTAAAACATTTAAATAGCAAGCATCATTATGATTGAGTCTATTTAAATTTATTAAAACCCAAACCTAGTCCCTATTTAATGTTCAGGAATCCTAGGCATGTTTCAATGTTCCATCATTCCACAGATATGAAAAATACATAATTTAAATATGTAAAAATTCACATAAGAAATCAAATCAAAATCATACATTTTATCAATTCATAATACAAGAACAGATATAAACCAATTTCATAAAACATATGTTCTAACCCAATTAAACATGCATAATTATTTAATTTTATGTGTTTAATAAATTCTGGAATTTCCTAGGCATGTACAGAAACACGAATCAAAGGGAAAGAGATAGAAGAAGAACTTGCCTTAAACTTTCGAATCGAAAATTAAACTTCTTCTTCCTTGATCTTCTCTCTACAGGGTTTTCTCCTCATTCCTTCCTCTTT